CCCCAAAACCCCAAAACCCCAAAACCCCATGAAGTTTTAAATGGAAGTTTGAATCATTAAACTAATTTCGAATTATTTACTGAAATTTCAACCAATTTTAGGAATTATATATATTAATTCTTGGAAAAAGATAACAAGCTATATTAAACTAGAATCTAAAAATGTTGATGGACTCAAACTTAATAACTTACGGGACAAATACAAAGCCCAATCTGACATATGTAACCACTACTTCATAATAGTACAAAGATTTTATTAGAAGAGTTGAATTCAACTATATAAATTAGTAAAACAAACTTTATGCCTGCACTTATTGCTGGGCATTTTTGACGATATTTTAAAAGAAAAGACATTTAGAGCATGCTACCTTTTTTGTTAGTCCTTCGCATTTCAAGGATGAAATGACATATTTAAGTCTGTGCAAACTTAACAATAAATTCTTAGAAATGGGTAAAGGAGCTAATAGATTAATCAGAGTTCCACTATTTAATGAATAAGCACTTAATGTTGATTAAACAACTTTTGGATAGCCTACTGAGATACCGAATCAACCATAGCCTCGATTTGTTCACTAATGTCTTGTAAAAAAGGGAGGAGCAATTACTTCTGACATTGATAATCCTCATACAAGTGAAAATTCAGGCATTCCTACTGAAAAACTAAAAAATGCCTCACTTCAGTAAATGCTTAGAAGAATAATGATATAAAATAAAGATTAGTAACTGATAAATTAAAAGTTATCTTTAGAAGTATAGCTTTTGAAACAAGATAATTAAGACTTAAGAAATAAAGTATTCAATCTCGAATCAGTAATGGTTACAGTTATTTAGAGACTACTATAGCAAAATACTCACATTAACAATCAAGGTTAGTTATAATAGGATTTATAATGGGATGATATTTTGGAGCAGCTAGTTGGTGATAGAATTGAACAGCAAAATCAGAATGACAGATAACAGAATTTAGCCATAAATGATTAAGAGGTTTTAGCTTTGTAGAGTGAAGAGCAAAGTTTAGCTGATTAGTAAAGAAGATTTTAGGAAAATGAAGTAATTGAAAATAACTAAGAAAAAAAAATAGTTTCACTATCTACAATTGAAATGAATCTAGAAAATACATGGATTGCCCTTAATAATGATGACTCGCCTATTAGTGAATTATGAATATTCAATTTGAAAAAATTATTAAATTTTAAGCTATTAATTGGTCCAAATATTAAACTCGAATTTCTTCGGGGTTTTGGGGTTTTGGGGTTTTGGGG